CCTTGCATTATTCATGCACCAGGAAGATAACAAAGAGAATGATGTCCTGAAGCCTCAGGAAACCTAACCATCAATTTTGGCCCAGTGGGACAGCACTTATGTTGTCCTCTTGCTCTGTGATGGCAATCTGGCTTTGGGTGACTTCTCTGTGGGTTACGAATGTGGAAACAGACTTAGGAACACATGCGTGCACAGGGGTTTTTTTTGAGCTGCTGTAAAATCTCAGCAGCACCACAGAAGATATTTCAAAGGAAGCCATTTTTCCACAGAACAATTAATGATGACAGATTCGTCCCTATAAGAGTCCAGAACTGATGAAGTGTATTGAATCTGGCAGCCACATGAATTCCACTTGTGTACATTTCAGTACATCCGGTTTTGAGTAGTTTTTTTTCATTTCTCTCAGCTCTGCCCTTAAATTCTATTTTCAGAATGGGTGGAAACTGTAGCAGGTTATCAATAGGTAAGTAACAAATACAATAATTAAGTGCAGTGTTAGTCAAAGAGTTATTTTGTTCAAATAATGTAGGATCAGCAGTTGCTCTCAATGGCTATAGTTTTAAGTGAGCAGAGGCACATAACAAATACAATTCTTGGTTATTCTGAGCAATGTAAAAATACACAAAATTAACCACACACTTACCCAGAAAAATTTAAAGCTTTGCTTTGTTTGACTGCATTAGTTCCAACACTTGAACTAAAATTCTTTATATTTCAATGCTATGCACACAAGAGCAGGCAACTTTCTGTCTCATAACTGTCACAAATTCATATAACAAAACTTACATTTTTCCTTAGCTGAGCACTGATTAGCACTCTCACAAACCTAAAATATGTCTCCCATTTGTCATGGATTCTTCCCTAAGCTTTTATGGATTTGTTTGCAATAATACTAGCACAGCAATTGCCATAGCATATTAAAATCTAATTACAATTGGAAAGGTAATTATGTAAATACTTCACTAGCTAGCTGTGGTCCCTGTGTGTCCCGTTGAGCTGTGTTTGTTAACTCATTGACAGGTGAGTGTTCCCACTGTTGTGAGAGACGTTCAGTCCCAAACACATCTGTAGTTTTTAGCACCATTCTAGTTCCCCGCATGCCTATCAGTTCAGTTCTGATTAAAGAGCCAATGAAGGATGCAAGAACCAAATCAAACAAGTAGCTGTAACAATGTAGGAGCCATGGATCTTTCTGGCTCCACTCCCACCACTGCTCTGCCTACCCACAGCTCCCTCCTTTCTCTCATGCTGTTGCACAGCTCTGTTCCACAGTCTGCAGGGAGCTCATGAGTCTCCTTATAAGGATTTTTCCTCCTTTCCTCCTCCCTCCCCTGTTTTCTCTGGGTGATGGAAACCGAATGGTTCCACTGCATTTTGGGTCTTCCTCTACTGGTGAAGGCCAGGAAACTTTGTCCTTAAAACAAGTAAATAGGAAACTCCAAGAACTTCTGCAGTGGCCTTTCAGTTTCCTAATAACTCTTTGAAGAAACACTGTTTTTTAGATGACACAGTATTGGGTGACTATCTTCTTTTTTTTTTTTTAATCTTTAATTGGCAAAAAACACAACAGCAATTACTGGATCGTTTTCTCAATTTGTGAAACTGAAAGCAATCTTCATTAATGTAAAAAGTGGCTGACAAGCTGGAAAAAATCCAGCGTTCTCATTCTTTTCGTGCCTCCCTTCATTTTGGTACATGGAAAACACTGGCCCTAATCCTGGTCAGAATTGCTTTAAGTTTTGTACTGGCACCTTTCCATCGCTTCCAGGGAAATAACTTTTAATGCATGTCTAATATCATTTAATAATGATTTAAGTCCATCCTTATTAAATTTATCTGCCTCTGTGTTAAATGAAAATTGAATAGCTTCCAATGTGAAGAATATGGTTGATTACACTTGATTGTGTCTATTTTCCTCATATGAATATTACACTTTTTGTGTACTAGAGAGCATTAGACACAGGGAGAAAACAAGGTTCTTGCATTAATAATGAATCTTACTGAAGAATTATACATGCCAAAAGATATCTGCTAGGATAAAATATCTCTGCTTCCAGTGGTCGAATGAGGGAACTCAAATCCAGGGATGAAAAATTCCAGGTACCTCAATTAGCAGATAGTTTTGAAACAACTTTAGTCTGGCTGTCTTCTTCACCTCGCTTGGCTGGAGCTTGTTTTCTACAATAATTGCATATGCTTACCTGCTGGTTTCCTGAGGGATACACTGCTCAACATCCACTGAAAGAGAGGCCATAGCAGATACCGTTTCTGTCTCCTCCCTCTCTTGTTTCTGAGACTCAGCCAGAGCACAATCCACTGGCACAGAGTATGGCTCCACTGACTTCCAGTACTTGCCTAAGGAAAACATGCATAATAATTTATTGGAATTTTAGCTAGCATGATGGTACAAGCATAGTAATCACTTAGTTCAACACTGAGTGATTATAATTTAAAATCACTATGGTGTAAGCAGCACAGTTGAAATTTCAGACTGCAGTGAGGAGGTATATTGCTGAATCTAAGAATGCCAAGTTGGAAAGTGCTTTCATTCCAAGGTCTGTGTCTCACTCTTTCACTTTTTCTTTTCGAGGTAATAAACTGGAGGAGTAACACACAGACTAATGGTCGCATACTGTCAGAAAGGTTGTTGGCTTTATCTGCACATGGTGAAGGGAGTTCAGGGCAGGGTTAATACCTAGAAGCTCTGATATGGTAGACAGTTGATGCATATACAGCAAATAGGGCTAGAAAAATGAACATTGTTATACAAAGTGCTCACAGAGCAGTGTCTTGAAAAGGAAAAAGTCAGAAATGCCAGCTTGGACTGGAGTGATGTTGTCAGAACAATCAGGTTTGTTAGTCCTGGATGTTCTTTCTCCTCCAAACTCAGGGCGTATACTAGAACAATAATTTATTTAAAACTTTCATATATGAACTGGTTGTGCTGGAAAGCTGCCAGATATCATAAGGAATAGAGCTTTCTGGTTTGCTGTATAAAAACACAGCAGTGGATTAAAAGCCTGAGTATTCTCAGCTTTCTGCCTGCAACAGAAGAGACAGTAAGAAGCTTCTCAAGCAACTCAAACAATAATGGCAGGTAACTCATGATCCACATATAAAAAAGATATGCTACTGCAGTGCAATTAAGAAACAGGTTGATTAGTGGGAATCAGGTAAATAAGTAGGAATTTAGATATGTATTTCTTACAGTCCAGTAACCCACTGAGCACTCACTAATTGCCAGGTGGATGACACCTGGAAATTTGGAGAATTGGGAAGGCTGGGACCTCTGGACCAGAGCTTATTTAGTGTTTAGCAAGAAGCTTCCAGCAGCTGCAGAGGTTGGATGAGGGTACTTATCTGGGAATTAGACAGAGGGTTTCAACAGCTGTGAAAGAGGAGGGATCAAGTAGGGGACTTTTCCGAGGGCTAAAAGGAGGATTTTGGCAGCTGGGCAGCGGGCTGAGTTGAGGTGCTTATCCAGAGGGTAGCTGGAGGCTTTGACAGCTGGAAGGCCAGGCCAGCAGTGGTGTTGCCTGTGCTGCACAAAGGCTGCTGAAAACTCCCTCTTTGGTAACACAGCTCTCAACACAGTTTCAGGCTTTTCAAAAGATGAACTTTTCTCTCCAGTGAGAAAGCAGCTGTCAATAAAGCCTGAAAACGTCTTTATTCAAAAACATCATTGCAAGATGAAAGCTCAAGTCAATCTGCAAGAACAAGCAGCAAGCATGGCCAGTGTGTTTCTTTGAACTGTAATAGTGTGCACATTTGAGTAGTTAGCAGAATCTTTAAATAACGGGGACCTTCTGGGGATAAAATGTAAAGTGTATTAAGTATCCTACAAAGTTGAGATTGAGTATTAGGAGGTTGGCTTTGCCCCAGAAGCATGAAAGACACAGCTAAAAAGTTATGTACATAACAGTAGGCTCAATGATTGGAGCCTGGCAAATTTTATAAAAACAAGACAAAAACGTTCTATTATTAGCGTGCTCAGAGACCATATTCTCTATTCATTAAAAAATACACTAAACAAAAAAAAAGTTATATGAGCATTCCACAATGTTCTCACAGATCATATGTGCAAAAGTCAGTCTTTGCAATACACACCCAATTCAAACCCTGTAATTTATGAGCTAAATGTTCGCAAAGTGGGTGGGGTTTTTGTTGCAGAAACAGATGTGCAAGAAAATCAAATCTGTTGGCATGGGAATAATACCCCTTCTTGCCTATAAAAGAAATGAACCCATGTTCACTGCTGGAGTTTTCAAGGGCTCTTATTCATAAAATAAAATATTAGTACCCAGCTACCACTGTGTTGCCCTCCTGCAGCAACAATAAAACGGCATCAGTGAGGATTGCTACATCACATTTGTTCATTCACACACAGGCTCACATACCAGCTGCCCCCTGAATCCTAACTTTCTTGTAACACTAAAACTCAGTGCCAATTCAAGCATATTAGTGGGCTCTCTGTGCCCATTTAACTACCCATCACACCCAAGCGATTGGTGATTTTCGTTGTTTCCCTGCATTGAGAATTGTATTATGAGCGGGACTTCAGCGATAAAAAAGGAAAGCAGAGTCAGGCCATGAGGCAGGTGGCAGCACCTATGCTGCAGTGGAGGGTCTTGGAGAAGGGGAGTACATGGTAGGGTGTTTGTGGTTTGTGGGAGGAAATTTTAAAGCTGTCCCAATTAGTAATTGCACCAGGTAGCAGCAGGGGCCTCATGCAAAGAGGGCTTTCTGACGTTTGTGAAAAAGCATTGGTCTGTTTTAATTTAAAATCGGGAAATCAGATTCTATAATCTATGGTCTATTCTATGATAATAAACCTGTACTTTACAAACACCTGTGGTAATCAAAACAGCCTTGCAAGTTTCTTTTTATACAGGACAACATTTACATGTTGTTGTATGCAAATCACAGGGCTTGCACGAATATTCAGCCAAAAGACTTGCAGGCAAAGTTTTGTGGAACAGAGAGACAACCACAGCATGAGGCTGCAAAGGAGCTTTGTTAGAAACTGTAGGTATGCTATGGATTGGCAATTAAACGAGCTCAAAAAGCATCTGCTTCAAACTGCTCGCATCTCTGAAAATGCCATTTCTACTGTGATATACTGGAATGTGAAATTCTACCAGTCCTGTTATGTTCATTGAGAAGAACTTGGTGGAGCTCAGGGGAAAGAATGAAGCATACTGCCGGTTTCATTCATACAAAACTTGAACAGTCATGGCTTGCAAGAATAAACAATCCAACCAAATCAGTCTTCTAGGTATGCCTTAGCTTTCAGCATGATAAAAGACTCCCTCAAAGATTCGTGGGACCACCGTTCATTATCAGGAAATAATAAAAGGGAATGTCTCTGTCACTGTTACAGGCATTTGTAACTGTCTTTCATAGATAGATCTGGACATGCCATACCACGGCTTGCTTGGAAAAGCTCATATTTGGGGGTGGTATTTAAGCCAATGAACAGGATTGTTTAGAAATAGCGTGTTACATGGGGGTGTGAACTGCTGCTTCCAAATGTATTACATTTCCAAAGGAGCTTTGGATCACTGTCACATACAAAACATTCATACAAATTCCATTGTAGCTGGAAAAAAAAGTTGTTTCCTCTCATTGTCTAATTGAGTATTGTATCTTTAATTCTTTGCAACAAAGAAGAGGGATTTTTGGTTTTGTCTAAAATATTGCGAATATTTGTTATGAAAGTTGGGTCACAGACATACAGGCCCAATACACATGCAAGCAATCATCCAAACAAATCAGTCTTTTCTCAGTATCTCATGAGGTGCTACTTCACAGCTTAATGCTTTTCAGCCTGCATAACTCCCCATAATATTCAACATGTACTTTCTTCTCTTAATTCTATCTAAATAGGGATTCTCCATAAAGCTGTACTGAACTTCCTCAGTGCTCCTTTCTGTCATTCAAGCATATTCCTTTCTAACACTTGGTGTCTCCAGACAAAATGAGGTATACATACCTTTTAGAGTAATAACTGCAAGAAAAGACAGAGTATTGTGTATAAAGAACTCCAAAGCGTGAGCAGACCGACCTACATTTCAGCCCACTGGACTGCCAGTACAGTTCAGCTCAAACCAAAGTGTGGCAAAATTAAGCCTCTCTTCAGAGCTCTGGACTATGTTTTTAGACATACACTATATATTAGCTAGTAAATCTATTCCTTCTTTCAGAACTGCATCATTTGTGTGTATTTCTAGTAAGACGTTATGCCTTTCTAGAGCTAGTATTATTTCTTTATTTTAAATAGAACTGCATATCTTTTCCTCATGTCTGTGGTCTGTGTGCAGCTTTCTGTCATTATCAGTTGCAAATCTGTTCTGTCTTGCATAGTACATGAATTTCATTAATTTACTGATTCCTTCCAGATCATTAACAGATTATTAACAGGGAATTTAAAGCAAGACACTAATTTATGAGCTACCCTAGGACATACCACTCAGCAAAAATGACTTACTGAAATTTATTATGTAGAGCTGATTTACTTAGAGCACTTGCATATCTAGGTGACTACTGGATGTGAAGGATTAATTATATACCTAGAATAAATTATCTGTATCACTTTACAACTAAAATCAGATTGAACACTGCATGATCAGTGGAAAATGCATGGTGTCCCTTTTAAAAACTGCATTTCTTTCATACAGCTGAATCCCAATTATTTTTTATTCATCTAACATGAAGGAAACATTTGTTATCCATTTGTTATTATTAAGGAGTCAGCAAACAGCAGAAGTCAGGAAGCTCCCAGTGCCTCAGTAAAATGGCAGAGAGCAGAAGATTAGAGAATTTAAGGGAAGTCTGCTCAGTTAGATTAAGGAAGCTGATGGCAAAGAGAAAATTTTTCACTGAGACCAGAGCAAATGCCTTAAAGCATCTGGATAGTAAAGGGCTGGGATCAGGGCCCACAAGTGAAATGATCAAGTACCCTCAGCACCAGAAGCAAAGTCATGTATTTGTTAGATTGTTCCGTGGCTCAGTGCCCATTTTGAGCTTTTTAACTTTATCTCAAGGTCCTACACAGATGTAACACCAAAGTGAATAATTTGGAGGAAGCTGCACAGAATCTGAAGAAACTATTTTTTAGAGCTCTAAATTACCTCTTCTGCTCCTCACTGATAAACACCTAGTTCATCCAAGCTGCTCTGGACTGGAAAGATTTGGGAATATTCAGGAATCAGAAAGCTCTAAATAATTTCAAATGGTTAGTTTATCAGGGCTAAACATGTAGCAGAAAAAAAAGAGATGTCAAAGAAACAAAAATAAAAGCATATATACATATACATATACATATATACTAGACACAGCATGTTCATTTATACATAAAAAATTGCCCACTCTTTTCTCTGAAACATTAGTTTAACATCTGTGATATTAATTAATAATCAAAAATACCCAAAATCCACCAACCCTCCAACCCAAACATACTGAGAAACATACTTTGAATTTCAGTGGTCTTTTTTAAAGAAGCTATTGCATTCATATTGGGGATTTGGTGCACAATATCTTCTGGGAGAGGCTCCAGCTGCAAGAATAGAATAGAATGATATAAATTTTCAATAAGCAACAGGGAAGTAAAACAAACTGATACAACCTAATCCTCAGGAAAAGCTCAGCCCAAGAACTGGTTAATATTTTTCTGGTATCAGTTCTAAATGTACAGCCATGATTTTGTTTTCAGTTTTCCAGCCATGTAATTGAATTCCAAGGGGCTTTTCTATTGGCTGCAAGACTAATCTATGGAGTCTCTGAAGCAGGTGCATGTCTGTGTATTATTCATTAAAAAAATGCTAGTCATTTGTGTAATTTTTGTAGGTTCCTCACAAACCAAATTCCACTGCATGTGTATACGCAGCTGGGCACTCCAAACAAACCCTTGCTGAAGCCACACTTGAACCAAAGTGTGGACTCTATTATCTTTATTTTTCTGGTGTTATTGCATCTAACCTTCTTACACATTTTAAGATTTATAGGGGGAAACCATAAAACACAGCTGCTTTTACTAGCTTTGTACTAATTTCAAAAAAGTAGTAGATAAAAAAAAGTTATGCAGATCAGCAGTAAGAGTTCTCTAAGAAAGTTATTTATAGAGTCAGCTGCATTTTAATTAGCCAGATTGAATTCTATATTCTTCGAGTAGGGCTGAATCATAGTATATTGGCAGAAGGAAGTGTTTACTTACTGCACAGTTATTTTTGCCCTGCAATGGATAGGTATACCAAGCAAACTATGTTTTGAAATTCATCCACATGTGCTTTTTTGTCCATACATTTTCTCCCAGAAAAAGAGTAAAAGATTGTTTGAGCTAAATGCCTCTTCTTATACTGTAATATCTATATTCTTCTACTATATTCTTATACTTAATATCTATATTCTTATACTGTAATATCTATATTCTCCTTGAACTATGCTAACAGTCCAGTCAGGTTTTCCTCTTCCCTGAAGAGGCTGCACAAGCTGAGACAGAAGTAGTAACTGTGTCAAGGTGAACAAGGAAGAGCAGTATCAATAGCAATCTCTCCTCTCTGAGTCTAAGGAAGTTCAACCACTGTTGACAACAGACATCTGTACTGCAGACAAAACTCCTTTCTTAAGCATGCCTGGGTCTACTTTAAACTAGGTCAAGTGAAGCCCACCCAAGGATCTTCCTCTGTGAAGTTAATAGTTCAGTAGCCATCACGTATTGTCCTCCAGGTTACTACCGTTGCGTTAATACCCACCAGCTAGATAAAATCAGCTTTGATCTCAATACACAAAGTGGGAAGCAACTGCAGTGTAGATACTCCCTTAGAGGTTCTATTTTAACCAAGCTCAGCTACACATACCAGAACTTCTGGGATCCTACCGTTGCAATCAGCAGTGAATGCCTGTCAGCGATAAAGACATAGCAAATATCACTAGTTTTTTGGAGTCTTGGTAACTAAAATGAATAGGGCTGTTCATGTCATTATTTCCTTAAAATCCCATATGGGACTGCAGCTGGAAGATTTTCTTGTGGCTAGAAACAATAGCACTATGTTTTGTTTTCAAATAGCATAAATCACTCCATTCTGCTCAGTGAGCAAGTGTGCAGAGAAGTGCTGGTTGGACCTGACTGGGTCTACCGAGGCGGTCAAACTGCAAAGGAAGATTGTTGCTATCTAATATGTATCATAGATTACAACAGAAAGAGCAATTACAATAAAAATAATATTTACAAATATATTTGCAATTCTTAAACCACATTTTTTTTACAGTCTTCATAGGTTATTGTATAGTAATTCTTGCAGGTACCTGAGGGAAAACTGTGTTTTTAAGAAAATGCCCACCAACAGATCAAGCTTGACAGATCATAGAACAGTAATCCATAAAATAGGTTTAATAATCCATACCTTGGATTACATAGGTAAATAGAACTTGTTTTTATCACTTGTTATTTTCTGTTTAAAGTAATCTATCATTTGGCCAGCATGAGGACAAAATCTGAAGTTTTGTTTGGTTATACTGGTGCAGGAACACAGAAGTGGAAGCAAACTGTAGCATAAGGTTCTGTTTTGACAATTTCCTAATCCCTAAGGCTTTGAAGACCAATTCTCTCCCCTGAAGTAGGACTGTAACACTAGGAATAATAGTACAAAGTATGTAATTGCCAGACTGCAAGATGTGAGAACTGTGTCTTACTTTGTCCTTTCAGTACCTTGAGAATCTTTCTGCAGACCTCTTGTACTAATTATTAAGCTGGAAGCAACTGATGTAAAGATAGCTAGAGGCGATATCCTATTAAAAGGTGAATATTTTGTTGTTTTCAGAGCTGGATTTTTGCAGGAGCCAAAAAGTCTTAATATTTCCTGTTATATCTATGAAATGTCTTTATTTATCAGTGTAGAAATAAATTCTTTAACAAGTAGGCTGCATTTGAATATCTAGACATATCAGATGAATATTGAGAAATGGCAGATGTGGTGTTAGAAATCAGGATAAGCTGATAAATTGTTAAAGACGAAGAAAAAACGTAAAACATACAACAGTTATCCCAATCATTACTCCATCTGTTAGCTCTACTAGCAGATCTATAGGTGATGTGAGCATAACAGCCATGTTTGATCATTTCCTTAACTCTTTTCTCCACAAAACTTTCATTTTGTATCCCAAGCTTGGCTTCTGCTCCAGACCTGTTCTGCCTCCTCACTCTTAGCAATAGCCAGACAGACCTTGGATCCTCTTCCATACCAGGGAAATCTTATCAGGCTCCACAAGTAAGTTCATTACATCATATATCCTGCTTAGCCCAAAATGTAGTACCATTACAAAAACACCATAGAAATAAAGCCAGTGGCTTATGGCAGCTACTTCTATACACTTTGAAATGAGACTGTCTGCATTTGAAAGAATGATTTCTGCTGGCAGGTATCCACTGGTTGGATCCGACTGTATAGACAGAGGAGTGCCCCTGGAAAGTATCAGCAGTTAGACCCTACAGTGAACAAAAGAAATTACTCTACACCTGGCATATACGGCACCGTCGTCTTCCCTCCTACACTTATTGGCATTCAGATCATGAAGTCTATTAAATCTGGAGGCTAGGAGAAAGGAAACTGAAAAGAGCACTGGAAATACACTGTCAGGAAAGAAATCTTTCAGAGAAGAACAACTCAAGTCTGCAGAAATAACCAAACCACTGGAAAGACTGTTTGGACCAGACACAAAGGGTCACATTTTCAAAATTTTACATGGCTGAATTGGGCTTTTGTGCCCAAAGTAGCAGATGAAAGTAGAAACTGTGTCCACTAATCATTTTCAAAGTAGGAAAAAAAATGTATATGGGCAAAAATCACTTGGGCTGCCTAAGTGTGCCAGAGGCATATCAACAAATGTTTGAAGAAGGCATTAATGATGGAAATTTCATGTGCCCAGAAGATGATATGAATTGATCCTTGGGAACATGGAGAGCATCTGAAACTACAGCATTCTATACTGAGCTCGAAATTCTATCAATATCTTCATTTTCCTTAGCACTGTCATGTTTCAAAGCACCAAGATTAGCTTCAGTGAAGATTGCTGTGGAGTGCAGTTAGAGATAACTGTCGAGTGAGGCAATTGTAAGCAAAACGTAAGGAGCATGGAAAGTCCTAACAGAAGCAGAGAAAGGGGAGCAGGCAGGCAGGCTTCTAAGGGATGCCTAGGTTACAGGGGGAAGCATTAGAACTTCTCTTTGCTGGATACACTGTGCAAGAAGCATATCAGCACAATGGCTGGACTTCATTGCTCTTAGGGTGACCTATGATTGCAGAGGACTAAGTTCAAAGATCTCACAGGTCCTCTCTGTTCTTATATTAACAATCTTCTGAAACTTTATGTGCTTTCTGTTTACAAATAAGCACTTCAGGAAGGTATTTTTGTGATCCACTGTTACGAAGTGGCACATAAACGAGTCAATTTTCAGCAAGGAAAGGTTCAAAGACCTACTAGAACCAAAGTAGATTCAAGTAGCACCTACCAGTCCCTGAAAGCCAAGGGATGCCTAGGAATTATATAACTTTGGAATTGGAATATTCTCTGTTTCCTTGGTCAAACTACTTCCTGACTAGTGCTGCCCACCTTGGGGACTTTGATGTCACCATGCTGACCTCTGGTACATACATTGCTCCAGTTTCCTACCCTATCTAATTCTCTGTTTCTGGGTCAATTTCTGGACTCTGGGTCTATGCAAGCAGCAGTTGACAGGTGGCTTAGACTCAGTGTTAATTATTTTCTAGTATTAGACTCAGATTAACAATGAGGATGTGAGATTGTGACTAAATTTACCATGCAATTTAAAATTGATCTCAGGCCATATTCACTCCCATGAATATTTAAATTTTGGAGAGAGAAATGCTTACCTGGTCTGGTAAATAACCCCTTTTAACGCAGTCCAGGCCCTCTTGGCAAAGCTCACTGCCTAGCTGGCAAGCAGCCCCAGATTCACACTGAATTCCATAAAGAAGAAAATGCCAACTTTTCATCATCAGCATGAAAGCTGCAGAGTACGAGCTTTCCACTTAAATTACCATCCCCTCCTAAATGCCAGCTCAACAGATTGCAAGAAAGAAGCACATACTTCACACTCTGCAGGAAAATTGTCCAGTATAAGTTTTCAAGCATGCTTGGGAGCCAACCAATCACAATGTTTTGTCAAATTCTGCTTCAGACTGAAATTCAAGCCAGAAGAATATTTACTAGAAGATGTTAAATTTAGTCACTTAAAAATGTTTTTGCACTTAGGGCCAAATTCAGCCTTGGCTGCCACAGTCAATGGGAGCAGACATGCATCCTCTCTGTGCCTTTGTTGCAGGGTCCCGCTGGGCAGAGTGCACTGTGGACCACGCTTCTCTGTTTCCTCTATGCAAAGAAGAGCATGACCCCGTCTGTGAGTAATTATCACTTGTTACAGGCCACAGCAAACTGCTGTACCACATAGAGCTAAGAAACAATGTACAAACCTGTATGCAGATCAGAGGGACCATGATGTTAAACTGGCTTCTATGTCCCATGAAAATATCCCCCACCTGGCTGCTTGAAAACGAATGGGATGAAGGCAGAACTGTATCTTTACATTTTGAGTCAAAAAGTTTCATGCCTGAAGGAATCCTTCCTTGCTGTCTCTGGCTGCAGAAGAACCCCCAGCTGAACACAGTTATGTTGGAAATAAGCTGCAGGATTTAGGATACTGAACTCAAAGAAACCTTATCCCTGAGGGCTTTCTAAATCCAAGTAGTGTCTCTTCAAAAGTAATGTGGAGGAAAGAAACCAGAACTTATCCTTGCATGTATAGAGCAGCCTTACTCACCACCACCTGGCACTGAAAGACATAGCAGTGGTCTTTATAACACCAAAGCCAGGATGGGCAAAATAGCATGGAATTTCCATTCTCCATGACAAAGATTTTTGGGAAACATTTTGATATTAAACGCAATTTTCACACACTTCTTGGAATAACATATAAGCCTCAACATTTAATGGTTTTCTTAATTGAATATATACTTAAAAAAGTATTCAAAACTACACGACCAATCTGTGAAAAAATGTAGAATAATTGAGTTTTAAGCATACCAGTATATCCTAATCTCAGAAATGCTTAGGCTTGTAAATAGCATCTCTTTCCTAATTATCTGAATCCATCATTTACTTTGTTTTGACAGATGCTTTTTTAATGGACAAGTTCTCAAATCATGTTGAGAAAATTTAGATATAAAGCAACTTATGCTCATCCTGTCTTTTTACAACCCAGAAGGATTTTCATGTTTTTATTCTGGATTTCAAGGAATCCAGCTGCTTAATCTCTTCTCACCTCTTACAAGATTTCCTTCCAAGGAGATAACCTACAGTGCTCCCAATTAGCTTTGCAAATGGTCAAATGGATTCTTCTCAGTGTCATGGACATTTTCTGCTTGTACACAGAAGCATGGACAAGAAAACCTAAGATCTTGAAATACTATTTTAAAAAGCAATTTTATATGTAAAATTAATTTTGTCCTTATAAAATTTATCCTACCTTTACTTTTAGAATTTCCTTTTTAGATTTCTCATCATTTAAGGAGGGATTCATGCAAACAAACCAGGTTGAGCAATTTCAGATACTATAAGGTGTCTTTCCTGATTTCAAGTTGCTGCTCAGAAAAGGTATGGATCTCCGGTAAGTTCTGTGTTATATTAGAAGCCCTGTGCTGATGTCCTGGCTACCATAAGGTATCCATGCACTAGACACCTCTCTTTAGACAGCTGTGTCTTAGAAAGAAACAATTTAGAATGTAAGTGACTCCGATTAGAGAAAACCAACAATTATAATCAGATGACTCTCAGAAGTATTGACTCCACATAGACAAGGCTGATAGCTCATCTAAATTCTAATCTCTTCCAAGAAAAAGAGACCTTTTAATAGTTTTTCTGGTTAGTCTTCAAAGTCAACAATTCTATGCAGGAATTTCCTGTGCCATGCTCAAATTATTTAAAAAAGATTAACTTGATAATGTATTCTTTTCTTAGTGGCTCCACTTGCATTTCTTGAGAGCAAGAAGTTATGCTGCTAAACAGATCACTGTACTACAGGCCACATATAAATAAGAGCAAAATATGTCTATTTTGGAGGTCAACCTGTTTTTCTTCTTGGTGTTCAGAGAAAAATTGAGAAAAGAAATCATTTTGTACTTGTAAGTTTGATGTTACCTTTATATATCAGACCAGCTTTCCATGAAAGTTGGAAGTTGTGGCAAGTTTTACTGTTACTCTTTTTAAAAAATGTTATTCTGCTGGTAATAGAACATACAAAGCAGTGAATTTCTGTATTGACAAGTCCTGGCCAAAAACAACAAAAGAAAAGAAAAAGTTTTAAAAAACCCCGCAAAATGTTTATGAATTCTAATCCTCAGCACATGAATAAATATATCTGACAAACTGCAGAGTACCTTACAAAGGCCTTTCTCAACCTTTCTAATTTGAGTTCAATTACATGTGTAGTGTTTAGAAACTGAAGATCATCTTGCCAGTGTTTTTAAACCAGGGTTGCACTATATACCATTATTTGTAAAACTGAAGGGGGCAGATAATAAGTTATAATTATCCTATTAATCACCTGTAAAGAATTGCATTCCAGGAAGAATGCATCCTTAAATTACAATAATTGGTTGCTTGAAGAAAAACATTTCTTTTTTTTTGTCCTTGGCAGGAACATGCTGCAAGTGTGCTGTGTCAGTTCATGAATATTATGCTGAAATCAAGCAACGTATATGCTATGGGCCATGTGGTGTACATTGCCATAAATCTATAGATGTCAACAGACTTGCTGATTTCTAACTGCTAAGTAGGTATCAGACTTCCTCATTAGTGTCTGCTCCTCGGCAACACCTTTGCTTATTCTTTTAAGCAAATGTCAGTTTCTTATGATAGTGGTGCTAACGACATCCTCTCTGGAGTATTTTTTCTCTTAGCAGCCACAGCAGATTTTCTCTTTGAAATTCTGCTGCATCAGGCTGTTTAATGAATGTCTCTGAAGACAATGCTGTGAGTAGAAGCACATGAGAATAATGGTTATTGCATGAGATGTTTCAAGTTATTAATGACAATGTTCTTTTACAAGTGAAATAAAAATGGCTGCATGATTATGTTTGTCTTTATTCTCAGTTATTGAATTTCTGTCTCTTCTAAAATTTACTTTGCTATATTTTGCAAATAGGTAGATCACATTTTATATAATTTCCTGGTCTCTAATTACTCTAAAATAAAATGGAAGAAAGTCTCTATTCCAGTACACCTTTTTTGCTCACAATCAGTATTCTTTCTTGGATAATGGCTAGTCAGTGACAGCAGAAACAGTAGTTGGGTGTGATGTAGTGTTAAAAGAAAACAAGGCAGTTTTCATAAATGGGTAGCACCACCAAATGGTGGTAACTGGATAGAGGGAATCACAAACCTGCACAAAGGAAGACACATCACATCATCAGCATGATACCATTTGCATTAGTCCCACAAGGGTGAAAATTCAGAGAGTGGGTTTAGAAGGGCTATGAAAAGCCACCAGTGGTATAAGATACTACCACAGAGAAGATGATGATAAAGAATATCAATGAGAGTGTCCTGCAATAGTAGCTGATTATGAAAGCATTCACTAAGATTGTCAGATGCCTCAAATTAAGGTTTTGTAATCCAGATTTCAGAACCTAAATAAAAGGACCAACATTGAGCATCTTTTTCAGTAGTGCGTATCACCACACTGGAAAACTCTCCTTACCGGCCTATCGAAGGTGATAGAAGATAAAACCCAATTAAAGCTTTTTTTTTCTTTTTTTTTTTTAATGTGGCTACTTCTTTACATTTCTGAGAATATTCTTGAAAAAGCTATCACTTTATTCATTACGTGTTTAAAGTAAAAAATAATAAGCATTAAAATATTTTTCTCGATGAGTCATAAAAATGAAAAGCAGGGGTTTAAAAGAACATTTAGAAAATCCTTCTATCCAGTATCCATCGGAAGACACATTACTTCGCATTATTCATATTGGTATAAAGTCTCGAAGTGAAAGGGAACTGGCAGACTAGCTTACAATTTGGCACTAATACATTTGATTGGAGAGATTATATAGCTATTATCCCTTCCCTGGGGAAAAGAAAGTAACACACTGCACTTTATAACAAGATCTTGCAAAATTCACAGTTTATGGTAAAGGCTTTTGTCCTTTTATAAATTATGTTGGCTGCACCTTCAGCAAGCTTATTTTCTTTCTCATCACGTTTATGGGAGAAAAGATATTTTCTAGCAGACAACAGAACAATTTTCACTAATATGAATGCTTATCTTGTGTTTGTGTCTACAAATATCATTAATTGATGTTTACTTAGTCTGATAGTCCAGTCTCAAAAGTTTTTAAATAACACATAGTGTTTGATAAATTTTGGAAACTCCATTTAAACTACATACAGATCAACCTGAATCTTCATTTATAACTTCAAGTATTTTTTTTAAGTCTTGGGCACACTTGTAGTAATGGTGTTGTTCAATTTCAAAAGCCTGTGAAATAGGTGTCAAAATACTGTAAAAAATGTGCCTATTGTATACCCAGTTCCTAAAATTACCAGATACTTTGCAAAAAATATTTTTTTTCCATGATAGTTGGCAGGAAGTTCTGATTCTGATAGATGATATGCACACCAATGACTAGCAATGATGTCAAGTCTGGTATTCAGTACATCATAAAAAGCAATTTTGAGGTATTAAATATTGCTTAGGACTGGGAATAATTTAGGTAAACACTAAAGGATTTTTAAAGTCATCTCATTTAGAGATATTTATCCAAACCAGCTCATCTGAAGTCTGATCATTTCTAAGACATGTTCAAATTGCATGGATTTTGTAGCAAATGAAAAAAGGACTGATGCCATTGTTATTAAAAGAAAATCAAAGATAGGAGTTTCAGCAAACTTAGGTCATTCTCTCCACCTCCTATGATTTATGTTTTACCTCATTTCCTAAAAGGGCGTTTATACAGGCTTCAGATGCATCACAGATGGCAGTAAGGTCATGTCCTCCCTCCAGTGCCAGCACAACACGGCCATCCGCTAGCTTCAGCAATTGCTTGGTTAGGTGACCAAAACCTAGTATTCAAATACAGTAGTGCAAAAAATTAAAGCAGAATAGATATTACTGGCATATTTCACATCTGCTGCATGAGAATGTAAAAGCTCATAGATAGTGTACAGGGAGCATGGGGTATATTTAGTCCAGTATTCTGTTTCTGACTATGGCCCATACCAGATGCTTTGGAGTTAGGTATATGGAATTCTGTATGAGACAGATGTGAGATAATGTCCCTTATGCTGATCCCTGATAGCCTGAGATTAGTTGAAACATGAGGTTATCTCTCTTCTTACCATTGTTAACCATTATCACCCTGGATTCTCTTTCTATTTACATATCAATGTAATATATACCGATGTTATTTAGAGAGATCTGACGTAACCTTGGTCACTTATGGCATTAATAAGACAAAAAATATTTGTAGTTAAACTATGATACTATAACTGAAAGTAATTGCATTTTTAAATGACAATATTTTATTTAGAAATCGCTTCTTCCTTTGTATTTGGGGTTTGTCTATAGTATGCAACCACGGACTGAAAAATAGTAGAAACATATGTTACCTCTTAGCTCCGTTTTGAAGTGTTTTGGAATCAGTGCTAACACTTATTTTGATTCAAGGTTTTTATATAAATTGAAACTCTCCAGAACTTTGTAGAGATCTCTACCAGTGCCATTCACTTCTGACCAAGAATGTTATAAGCAACTCTGCACAGCAGCCAAAATTAACGGTACTTCATTTTATGTGGTGATCTATAACTACATAAACACTACCACAAAGTTTTCATCTGTGATTAATGTAAAATTAATTTATTTCATTTTTAATGACATGAAAAACTGTATAAAAAATGTTAATTTGGAGTAAAGATTTTGGAGACAAGCTTTGTGGTAGTTTCCTAAGAAAAGCTACTGTTTTTGGTTAATCTCCTTTCAGTGAGTAAGGGTAAGCAAGGCTTCAAAACTATGGAAGTGAAATTCCCATCACATCTTTTCCACTTGGTCTGTGCTAATTGCTCTACTGACGGTCACCAATACTCATTGAAGTGTTTTTTATAGCCTTAAATAAAGTATTTAGAAGGTATCTATCTGCTAAAACTTGGGGCTCTACAAAGAAGGGAAAACCAACATCTTTTTACTATATTCCAGTGAAGAAGGTCATCAAAAATTCAATACAAAAATCAATACAAAAATTATAAGCTTATTTTCTAGAGAAATTTTCCAATACACAGACTTAAGGCTTGACTTGGCAAACAAGCAATCTCACAATTAGTTCTGTTTATATCCTAGGCCTTTGTTAAACACATGCCCAACTATTTTTAGAATAGGGACTTTAATTATACCAGATTTGGTTTAGCAAGCAGATAAAAAAACCTCAACCAACCAAACAACAAAAACCCCAAAACCGTCTACCTGCCTCTTAATCTATGGATGATCACAGAATACTTGAGGTGAAATACTGCTTCCTTAATCCACTCCACAATCTTCTGTACCCTATGAGAACTGCAGCTTTTATTCTAGCAAAGAAACAACACTGTGGTTCAAATTACATACAGGGTTGAAAAAAAAATAAAACCTTAAACTTTTATTTAAGCTCAACCTTTCCTCATGAAGAAAATCCTCACCCAATCCTCTCTGCAAAAGACCAAATTTAGATAGGATAATAAAAGTGAAAGGAGGAGTGGAATGAGGATAACCTTTGATCTTCAGCCAATTTCTACTTTCTTTTACCTACAGGATTTATTTCTGTCTGCATGTTACACATGTGATCTTTGGATTCATAATAAGAGTGTGCCAACAGCGTAAAGCAAGTCATACATACAGCATTTAAAGGAAATGAAGAAGAATGAACAGGCGCAGACTCCCCACGTCTACAACTCACCCTTTGGGTCTGTGAGGAATCCAACAGCACTTTTAAGTCTACATTCTTCTTTGTGTTATACAGCTTTTGTGACGAAGGGAAAGCTCCACCATGTTTCCCCTGCACATTTCGAAAATTTTGCAAGACCTCAAATATTGCTACTGCCACATGGCAATTTTCTGAGGTATGAGTGGCAATTAATATAAAGACTCTCTCAATACATTTTTCATCTTTTAGGCAACCATGCATAATATAACTTGTAGACATTGTTACAATGTTAGTTTGTCTAATTTCCTGACGATTTTCCTAGTATGAAAGTTGTAATCATCATCCTTGGCTGAGTCAGGATGCAATGAGCCATACAGAAAGAATCTTTCCAAACAGATCACGGTAATAAGATAAAACATTGCCAAACCAAATCAACAAGATGGGAGCTTTTCTTCAGTGTGATTACCCTGAGAAAGTAAAGGTAACTTCCCAGAAATGGAGCCAACAGTACCAACATTGCTGGTGACCAAATGAGTTATGGAAATTCTTAACAAAAACACTTGGATCCTGTGTCACTGCAGCAACCTAGGAGAGATATTAGCTTCCTCAAGGAAATCCCCTGGAGTGCAGAAGTAACAAAATGGAAAGAAAGGAATAGCAGTCGAGTAATGGTTTTAAGATGGGCTCTAGTGCGTGCCAAATAATTAAGAAAAACAAGAAGAAAATAGTAACAGGCATCATGAAAAGAATCAGTCATCTCCCCTGATATACGGAGATCAAGCACATATTTGACACCTCATTGGCCAACTTTAAGGTGAGAAAGGAGTCAGAAAAGCATTTTTAATCTTGAATCTTCCAACTCACATGAATTTCTAGAAATCAGCAGCAGTTCTTGGCCCTTCTACTGTGCTTGCTGAAAAAGGTGCCAACTGTGATGCTAGCTTAAAAGATGTTTTCTGTTTGGATTTGCCATAATCTAAAACTGCATACTTTTGCAATGGTGCATAACAGTTATAGATTAGTGGCATTTTATAGAAACAGTAAACGTTCAGTTGGAAGATGGAAAGTCATGTTAATACATCAGTGCTTGATTTTCAGTCCAGCCTTAAATGGGCATTGCTTCTTAGAGGCTGCAGGTGCCTTCAGGCCATTTAGAGTCTGAGTACCTGACTCAATGACAGGCATTTATTAATCCGGGTTTGAAATGGCCCTGGCAATATTCACAATTACTTGTGCCCATAAACATAAGTAAAAATGTCACATATTAATAATAATAATAATAAATCAGTATTTAAAAATCCAGATATTTCAGTCAGTAAGTGAGAAAAGGTTATACACACAGGGTTATTTCTCAAACCTTCTTATAAATGTGCTCAGTGAATTTATGCTTCAGAGAAGTAGCATTCTTTAAAATTGGGCTCATGCAGTGTGCCAGGAAATATGTGAGCATAGTTTTGTGCCACCTATTATTTTTATATTTTCTGTAATTTAAATGTTAAAAGTACCTGTTCCCTTTATGGATCCAATATTTAGACATTGAGGGTAGAATTTGCAAAGTCTCTTAATATTCATTTGCTATGATCCTATTAAAAAATAATAAACCTCTGATTTATGCAAGAAGCAACATTAAAACACTACTAAGTAGTTCTGAAAATCACTCAGAAATTGGTTTACATTTGCCTGACAAAATCCTGTGGGTGCACAATTGTACACCTAAGCAAAACAGACTAGATTAAAACTGAAATCGTTATAAACCATGTTATGCATTGGAGAAATATGCAGTATATGAGCTGTTATCTGCTGACTTTCAAAGTAAAAATATAAACTTTTAAATCAAAACCATAACGTGTACTTTTTAATTATATCCTTTCACCTCATTAGTGCTGAGATACAATATGCAGGCTTATGTAAGAAAATATTCTATTGTGGGAAGCAAAAAGAGAGAAAATTAATACTGTATTAACTAATAAGCAAGCTGCCAGGCTGTTACTGAAGGATACAGTTTGCTGATAACTTGAATTATAATAATTATAATAAGTATTTCAGCTTTTAGTGTCCCAGGAAGACCTCTGTTTGCCTTTTTTTTTAGTGACAGAAAAGCTCCCCATGCACTCCTTATAGTTCTGCCAAGTAGCAAGGAGTAACATAGATGAGGCTTCTGCCTCACTAGACCAAAGCCACTGTAGCAACTATACGCTACCTGGATTTACTGACAACCAAGAAATAATGTTAAACCTGATAAAAGGGAATCCAGAGTTATTTCAGTTTTCTATTTTTGTTTTTGAGGTATCCTTACTGTGACAGCTTGAATAGGAAAGTGGCAAGCAGACAGCAGGTAAAACACCTCTTAAACAGGTCAGTTCCCCTCCAATGGACGCATACAACTCACAACTGTGTTGTGTATTATGGCTAGATGAAGTACAGCCTCCCATTTTGAGAAAGAAACATTTCAGAATGAGGACAACTTGTGAATGTTATTCTTTTCACATCCTTTCCTCAGCAGACAGGGAAAGGAACCATATGGATGGGGAACACTCTCAGGCAGCACTGCAGCACTCCCTGTTTGCCTAAACAGTCATATATGCAACTCAATTTGCTCACCAGCAAATGTGCAAACACCCAGCTGGGGGGGACAAAACCTGCCTCAGCAGAAGACAGAGTCCTTCCATCTCCCCTGCATAAGGAGAGCAGATGTCTCCTGCACAGTCATTTTTTAGGCAACAGCAGGCGGAGCAGAGCCGTGGCGCTGGCCCTTGCTCAGGGGAGGCAGCTGGTGGAGGAACAAGGACATGTCAACAACCGAAAGGTTGGCAAAGCTTTGGAGTTATAGAGAAAGCCTCAGCTTTCTCAGCCTTAGCAGCAGGGCCCCAACAACTCTTTCAGCTTCAGTGTCTTAAAAGCTACAATCTGACTCTAAATTACAGGCAGAGTTCTGATGAGCTCCTCTGGCTACTCAGAGCAGTCTGGAGAGGAATACACACAAAGCAACAAAAACTCCACAGTCTCTGTTCTGGACCTCCAAGCATGTATTTAACTATTATTTACCATTTAATCATGTCATTATTGTCTAATCTACTTGACAATGCGTTTTCCTCTTATTAAAACTGTGCAATGATTGCTGCCAAAAGTCTACCCACCAGTGTCCTACACTCCTTCCCTGTGGTTCCTTCGTGACTATTTGATTAATTTTCATTGATATTCTTCCAACAATAGCATCTAAAATTAACTGGGTCAGTTTTTACATAACTTCCTGAGTCACCAGGCTATGTGTCCTAAATAAATATATTCAGACAGGAGTCAAATGATAATTTACCCTTCCAGCACTGGCAGGAGCTAGAACATTTTGCAATGCTTGTGTTCTATGATAAGAGAGCACATTTTCTTTACAAGTTTGAATTCAGAACCTTTTATTCAATCAAAACTTTACCTAGATTAAGTCAGTTGCCAGGATGTGGCCCTG